GACCACAAGCCAGTTGTGGTACTGTCGACTGGTGTCGGAGAGTCTGTCGAGTTCCACGTTAAGGGTGCTACGAAGGGCTCTTTAGTCAGCAGCGGAACCAGCTCGAACGCGACTTTCCATGCCGAAGCTCACGGTCTTACGGCCAATATTCAGATGGTTTCCGGCATGAATGTGTATCAGTTCGACAACGGTGTAAAGGTTGTTGTCGCTGACAAGCCCACTGCATACCTCTTCTGGGCACCTAATCTCTCGAAGGATCCCTTCGCGCCGGTCGACCAATCCGTGCTGGTCCAGGGTCCATACCTCGTCCGTAGTGTAGCTCTAGACGTTGGTTGTCTCGCTCTCAAGGGTGACATCATGAACAGCACTGACATCGAAGTATTTGCCACTGGCAGTGCGAAGACACTCTCTTGGAACGGGAAGGAGCTAGCCACCTCACGTACATCGTACGGTAGCTTGAAGGCACACGTTGCTGCGTTCAATGGCACCATCAACCTTCCTTCCTTAGACAACTGGAAGATGAATGAGGGACTCCCAGAGAAGATGCCAGAGTATGATGACAGTGGTGCTGCGTGGGTTGTCGCTGACCACACCACCACCCCCAACCCTACCAAGCCCGACACCCTGCCTGTTCTCTACGTTGACGAGTACGGTTTCCACAACAGCTTCCATCTCTTCCGTGGCTACTTTGACGGCGCAGCTACAGGTGTGCAGCTTTCCGTTCAGGGTGGTCTTGCATTTGGCTGGAGCGCATGGCTGAATGGTGAGCTGGTTGGATCATGGTTGGGCAACACTACCCTAGGCGTTGGCAACATGACATTGTCTTTCGCCAATGCCACTCTGCACGAGAACAGCACGAACGTCTTGCTCGTCGCACAGGACAACACCGGCCACGATCTGCGCGGTGGTGCTACCGACCCCCGCGGTATCCTCCGTGCCACTCTCGAAGGCGCAGAGTTTACATCCTGGAAGATCGCCGGTGAAGCCGGTGGCGAAGATGCGCTCCTCGACCCTGTACGCGGACCCCTCGCTGAAGGTGGCCTCACAGCCGAGCGTCTCGGATGGCATCTCCCCGGCTTCGACGACTCTGAATGGGTATCTGGCTCACCATCCACTGGCTTCGAAGGTGCAGACATCAAGTTCTACCGCACAACCATCCCTCTTGACGTACCTGCTGAAGTCGATGCTTCTTTCGCTTTCGTCCTCAACGCCGTGAGCTCGAAGACTATTCGTGCGCAGCTCTTTGTCAATGGTTACCAATACGCCCGCTTCAACCCGTACGTGGGTAACGAGATCAAGTTCCCTGTTCCACCGGGTATTCTTAACTACTCCGGCGACAATGTGATGGGTTTGAGTGTGTGGGCGCAGTCAGAGGAGGGCGCGCAGGTTGATGTGCAGCTTGTGCAGGAATATGCTATCGAGAGTAGCTGGAGCTCGAACTTTGACTCTGAGTACTTGAGGCCGGGGTGGACGGAGGAGAGGCTGGCTTATGCTTAAGCGCATCTTATAGCTATGTTAGGTTTCATGAAAATGTTGGAAAAATCCTTGAAACTCTGTAGCTCATGTCAGCTACTCCCATTGCTATCATCGACGAACCGAAGTTTCGATCGTAAAGGGCGGAAATCCGGACTCACTAGATATGCGGTCAAGTTCTTGTATAGGCTTGTACCATGTTTTACGTAAATTTGTTCAGCGGCAACCAGTTTTTGATTAACTTCGCGTTTGTTACTATGAACTTCTACAGGGTTCACGTCGCCGTTCGGTTGCTCCGTTTGTCCGGACGAGAATTGACCGTTACTTTCAACCGCCATTGGAGACCTTCTTTCGTGCAATTCTTCCTTGCTAACACGTATAGTACGCCGCCTGTTCTGGTCTGAATTATAAGGTTGTCCATGTAGTGCCAGTGTTGCAGTGGGGCGGGCTGGTCATTTGTTTGAGACTCAAATAGTTTGCGTGTCTTTTCGACTTCTGTAGCAATCTCCTCAGGCCAGGGTAGTTCGAGACCAGACATATGGATAATCCAGGGTCGACCTCCGTGCAGACCCACGAAAAGGAAAAGGCGAGTCCACGCTTCCAACTTCAAAGCCATGAACTGAATGGCCAGGCACGCAAACTCGTTTTCCCGGATAATGAAGCTTTTGATATCTGGTCCATCGTAATGGTAATGTGTCAGAACAGCTAAACGGGTTCCCCTTGCAAGTCCCCAGACTGAAACTTCTCCTAAGGGGTCATCAAATCCCATAGAACACTCATAATAGGCTTCTCGTTTACGACCGCGGTCGAACTGCTCTATATGCATACTCTCTGTTGTAGCTTATTGTATGTCTTCTACTGTCACTACTGTTCGGGGAAGTGGAGGTCTTCGGTAGACGCCAGAACCTGTGCACTCCAGCCAGACTCCGACATGATTTCCAGTCGACTCTAAGCAGTTCAAGACTGCTATGACTCGATTGTGATCAACTGGTATGCAGGGGAGAGTGATGCTGAGCCCATGGTTTGTGATCTGGTGAGTTCCAAGCTTTCCCTGCACTCGTGGAAGAGTAGTCCGCAGGCCGGCACCGCTTACAAACTGTACAGGTGATGTTGCGAACATGCTTGTATGGTGCCATCCGTCTTCTTTGGAGTCCCAAGCGAATATCGTGTGCTCGTTTGTTTGTTTGATAATCTCAAGCTGCAGTCGGTAGAAGGCGCCTGAACCTTCCCCATACAACATAGGCATATTGACCCGAACAAGACCCAGCAAACAATATGCCATGTCTTCCTCACGCGTTGTTTTCCTATCAGAGGCCCAGCTAAACTTTGCCGCGACAGTAGCATTATCAATCGCGTTTCTTTCAAGCAGATATTGCTTCTCGATCTTTGTTGCTGCATGGATTTCGTCCAAAAGACATGATTTTGTGCCCATGAAGCGCCAGTCTGAGTCGAAAAATTCGATCACATCTGGTGCAAGAAGCTCTTGCAATGTCCATCCTCTTTTGAACCATCGCGATGAAATGAACTTGTCATCGCCTATCGAACAATCCGAGATGTACGCGTAGCAAATCGCGGCATTCCAATACCACTTGTACATCGAATTGATCGCCTCTGACAGCTCGGCACTGCTTCTCTTGTCAATGCAGCATGTATCAACCCAGGCCCAGTTGAAGCCAGCCGCTAACCCTTGTGCGCAACATCGCGCAATCTTAGCATAGCCAGCCATTCTTTTCGCATACGGCTGGGCGATGTCGTCGAAGCTGACCTCCCCGTCACCCCACGTGTGAGAGAGAATAACATAGAGAGGTATATCAGTGATGAAATGCTGTAGTTTGAGAGTTTTTGTATGGAGCAACCACATGGTGAGATAGGTAAGAGTAAGAAAAAGTGTGGTGGCGGCAGGCTGAGATTGATAGTGAAGTCAACTCGAGGCAGTGCACCTGGACATGGATGCAAGGCTCAGCCTCGCTCGCTTGGCCACCTTCACCGGCGGCAAGTGCATTGCAGCCATTCAACGACCCCGCTTCCAGCTGCCAGGTTACTTTGTGCGATGCACGAGCTCCTACTATATGCTATGAGACTCTTTGCGCAACCAAATTCGATTGCGCGCCAATGACGATCTACGTGCCAAGCATCACGTGATGGATCCATAGCTAGGTAGCCATAACTAATCGATGATCTCCCACATCTCTACAGATAAGCTGAGCATCCCTCGTCAAACGGCCCATCAATGCCCCTTATCTCCTTCACCGCAATCCCCAAAACCACATCCCCCTCCCTCGTCACCTGCACATCCTCAGCCTCCACATGCCCACCCCCCACAAACCTGACCCCATGCGCCCTACAAGCGCCCTCCAACTTCTCCAACCCTAACACCAGGTTCCTCACAAAGCAAGTGTGCAACGCCAACTGCTTCGCCTCCTGTAACCGAAAAACCTTTAGCACCCTCCTGGTACCAAAGCCAGGTAAATCCATCTCAGCGAGCACATCCGCGTTATCCACAAACGGCTGGCCGATGATCGCCCTGCCTTTCTCTTCGAGGCAGTCGCGCAGTGCGAGGAGGTGTTCTCGGCCGGGAGGTGGTTCCGGGATCGCGTCCTAAGTGAAAGCGGAAGGGTTGTTGGGGGGTATGGGGTAGGGTGAAGCGATGTAGGGGAGGACGGCTTCCCAGCGGGTGATGATGGCTTGGAGAGTTTCGATGAGCCAGGTGGTGTGGGGTGTGACTTCGGGGGAGGTGGTGAGTGCGCGGTGGGCTTTTAGCCAGTCGAGTTTGCGGATTTGGGAGTGGTAGGCGTCGTAGCCTTTGTAGACTGCTTTTGCTTTCTTTAGTGTGGGCGTGGAGGGGACTTCAGGGTTGAGGGCTCACCTTCACTGTAACTGTCGTACGGCGTAGGTGGCTTGTCGTCTGTTGAGATTTCGTTGCTTGGGGTTGAGCTGTCTGTTGTTGGCTCTTTTAGGTCACCACAGCCAGGTAGTGGCGGTAGAAGGTAGTCGGCGCTGTTCATTGAATGGTCACTGAGGTTGGGATTTCGCAGCGCGCGAGTAGACGCATAATGTATTGAAGCTTTGAGCATGAGATCAATGCTGAGGAATAGGTTATGGTACGAGGTTATGTGGTAGCTTCCTACTGCCCAGAAGCGATGATCGGGATCGAAACGATCCATCGAGAAAGCGGAAGGAACGACCGGCACCGAACTTCATTTGTCAAGTGAGAACAAGACGCAGCGCTGCAATGAACTTTTCAGACTTTGAAGTCGATTTTTTGCAAAGACTCGCTGTAAGATACAAGAGACTTGCTTGTTGCTTTACAATCGTTACCATCGTTCCAAACCAAGACACGATGCAACGTGAAAACGTGATAATAACACAAACCTGGCCCACCCACCAAGAGAGCGAGGACATGACGAAATGAGAAAAAGTAGGGAGAGAGACCGTTACGCCGTCGCTGAATGTTCATATCAGAAATATGGGACTCGTCATTTAAGCGAGTGACTAGAAACCACTCCATCATCTGAGTGGTAATGAGATCACTCGTCTTTGGTGATCGCTCTTGGGGTCGACAGTGGGCGGCCGGCGAGAATGGCCTCGCGGTCTTGTCGCATGCCCTCCAGTACCCCGACGAGGCCGCCTTCCCGCATACGCTCCAGAACGACTTTCATGCCTTCACGCGCATTCGGCTGACTTCGCTGCGCGCGGGACAGACCAATCTTCTCGATGTTTCGCTGAAGAGCCGCGGTGCCCCAACTCCGCAGGAAGCCCATCTTTTGTGGCTGTTCCTCATCCGCAGCGTCCTCCCTTGCAGCCGCACGCTTCTTCTTCCATGTCTCCCCGATGTGACTGTGTAGTGTGACAGAGCTTATGACGTCGGTAGTCTCACCCGAATCCTCGACCCTGGCACCTGCACCCTTGCCGCCAAAGCTGATGAAGCCCTGGCGTTGTGTGGCACCGTCCATGGCTTGCCGCATCTTCACGTCGTCGGGTACCAACGGCGAAGGACGTATGAACTTCTGCCTCTCTACAACAGAGAGCACACCTGTCCATTCCAGATTTCGTGACTCCGTGTCCATCCATCCTTCTTTGATGTCTACGACTGACTTCTCGAGAATGTAAGTCTGCGATTCTCCGCTGGCTGAAGTGCCAAGGAGGGACCGCGGTACGAGCTTCAGAACGGCGGAAGGGACCTTAGAGCGCTTTAGGTGGAGGCGGATAGTCGTCAGGCGTTGAGTCTCCGGGTCGTAGTTACGGGCGATGGTGTCGGTGGAGAGCACGTGAGTAGAGTAAGGGTTCGGGTAGCGGAGGAAGTAGGCGAGCGAGACGGCGGGGAACGGGTACGAGTACGTCTCGTTGGACGAGTAGAACTTGACCATGATGACGTCTTCGTGGTCAAATCGGAGTCTGTAGGCGTGGGTGGGCGGTAGAAGGCGGGAGATGTAAAATGGTATAGGTAGGAGCTCAAGGCAGCCTAGAACGCGCGGTCGTCTATCGCCGGTGGTGAAGTCGCATGGTCAAGCGCATCCAACCGTGACAATTGGACAGGCTGTTTAGTCGCGTTGGAGAGGGGTAGGGCGTTATGTCGGGCTGGGTGGTGTGAGGACCAAGGATAGAAACGTCTGGAGCTCTCGCCATCCTGGCGCCATGACGAGATTTGCTGACCTGCATCGGCTTTCCCTCCCGTAACGCCGCTGTGGCTGGTTCGTGGCGCAAGCTGTGGCGCAGTGCGGGGCAGGTCTAGCCACAGCAACGCCAAATTGAGGTGGGGTCTCCCATCGCCGAATATCCAGTGACTCAGCTCCAACACCAAAGAATCGCGCCACGTAATTACCCAGGCTGGAGTCACTCCTTCATTCACAGCCCGACACACAAGCCATCCTCCAACACAGCCAGCACCATGACCGAGCCCGAGCCACCCGCCGTCGCCGCCCTCTCACTCTCCGACACAGCAACGCAATCCGTCTCAAAAGCGACCGAGCAAGAGATCAACCCCTGGGATGTACAGGCGGGAGTAGATGAAGAAGGAAATGTCAAGCAATTTGACTATGTCGCCATCTCGCAGAAGTGGGCCACAAAACTCATAGATCAACCGCTACTGGAGCGATTCGAGCGCGTCACAGGCCACAAGCCGCACCGCTGGTTACGGCGTGGCCTTTTCTTCTCCCACCGCGATCTTGAGCTCATCCTGGACACATATGAGCGCGGCGATGACTTCCTACTATATACCGGCCGCGGACCCAGTAGTGATGCCATGCACATTGGTCACACTATACCCTTCGAGTTCACAAAGTGGTTGCAGGATGTCTTCGATGTTCCGCTAGTCATCATGTTGACGGATGACGAAAAGTTCCTGTTCAAGGAGAAGCTGAAGCAGGAAGAAGTCTACGAGTTCTCGCGGCAGAACGCCAAGGATATCATCTCCGTCGGTTTCGATGTCAAGAAGACCTTCATGTACATCGACTCCGAATTCTTCACATCCGGTTTCAACAGACACTTCAGTCTCAATACCACCGAGTTCGAGAAGCTGGTCACCAACAACCAAGTGCGCGGCGCGTTCGGTTTCGACGGCTCAACCAACATTGGCAGTAATGCATTCGCAGCTAAGCAGTGCGTTGCCGCTTTTGCCTCATCATACCCCTTCATCTGGGGCGAAGATCACGCGACCTACAAGCGCTCGAAGAAGCTTGCTTCCATACCCTGTCTGATTCCCTGCGCTATTGATCAAGATCCCTACTTCCGCCTGGTTCGTGAGAACTGCCACCGAATGGACCTCCCCTCGCCCAAACCGGCCCTCATTCATTCCAAGTTCCTCACTGCCTTGCAAGGCGCTGGTGGCAAGATGAGCGCATCCGATGCCAACTCGGCCATCTTTATGAGCGATACACCAAAGCAGATTAAGACCAAGATCAACACCAAGGCCTTCTCTGGTGGTCAGGAAACACTGGAGCTTCATCGCGAGAAGGGTGGAAACCCCGATATTGACGTACCATACCAGTACATCGGTTACTTCGAGGACGATGACGAGAAGCTCACGAAGCTAGCTGAGGACTACCGCAAAGGCGAGCTATTGACCGGCGAGATGAAGAAGGAATGCGTAGAAACCATGACGGTCTACGTCAAGAAGTTCCAAGAAGCAAGAGCAAAGGTCACAGACGAAATACTCGACGAGTTTCTCCGCCCGCGGAAGCTAGAGTGGAAGGGTAATCCCAACCCCACCAAGCCCAAGCTTGAGCAGCCGGCTCAAGAGGTCGAGGCTGGGGGTCCTTCACTGGACGCTGACGGCAAGCCGATGACCAAGAACGCCATGAAGAAGGCGGCCAAGATGGCTGAGGTCGAGCGCAAGAAGAAAGAGAAAGAAGCCGCCGCTGCCGCGAAGCAGTGAGCATACCAAAACTTGAATCCTCGTTGAAAAGATAGATGCACGATACCAATATGACCAAGTCGACTTCACCGTCAGCCTATTCTTAGCCTTCCACGAGCGTATGAATTGCAGTGTTCCAGCGCAGGGTACTTCCCGAGCCGTCGCCTGATGTAACATCATGTATTGATTCGAGAGCTAAGCTAACGCGATCTAGATATTGCTAAGCATCACTGGGCGCATCAGCCAGATCATGACGTGAATCATCCCAGATGTCTCCAGTACTCCCGCTCGCCGCTTGTCAGCCTATAGGTTGAGCGACATGAGAGCGGATCATAATGTGGACCGTACCACTGTCCATACTCTACTCCAGTGGTACGCCGGTCGCGTGCTCCCGTCCGGCCCGCGACGGCCGACCACAAAGCTTGTATCTGCTTCACAGTTGACCAGAGTAGGAGTCACTTCAATCACCGACAACCTGTTCTGCCTAGAGTTGCCAAGTTGTCTTCGAGTCACGATGCCTTCAAGTTTTGATCGGCCTCCTCCTACAGCTGGCTAACGTCTTAGTTCGAGGACTCGTCTTCCGCTCGCTCGCCTTCATGTGCTACCTTCCGCCGCTGCCTACCACAAGTGTCTCCTTAGTGCACTCAATCTCGGGTTCTGCTGAGAATGGCTCGCTCATTTGAGGTCATGGGCATGTCATCCCGTCCGGTTCTGATCAGCCTGCGTCAGACTCCCTCGTGACCCCGCGGTCTTCTTGACTCCGCATCCCCGCGCGTGCTCTATATGTCAAGTGTGTCATTCATCACCTCCATCCGTGACTGGCGTACACTTCCTTCTCTTATCCCGACTTCCTACAATTATCGCTGTTGCTCGAACTTCTGCACAAGACGATCCAGACCATAGCATCATGGTATCGGCCATGGAGCGGAAACGACATGGTGTCGTTGACTTTGATCAGCAGCTTATGGAGCAAGGCCAATCAGACACACTAAGTTTCGACAGCTCAGACGACACTCTCACCTCCCTACCGGCGATATCAAAGCTCGAATCAACGGATGCGATACTAGACAGGATGACTACTATTGTCGAAAGCAATAACGAAGCGGAACGATCAATGTCGCTTCGCGAAGGCATGCGCCTGTACCCCAAAGCGATAACATGGTCGGTGTTACTATCGATGACACTCATCATGGAAGGATTCTCTACTATTCTCGTACCCAATCTGTTCGCGATGCAACCGTTCAGGAAGCAATTTGGCACCTTACAGTCGAATGGCCTGTACGAAATCAGTGCCGACTGGCAAAGCGCACTTGTGAACGGCGGCCTGGCAGGGCAGATCGTAGGGCTTTTTGCTACAGGAATACTAGCCGAGCGAATCGGGTACCGATACACACTCATGGTAGGGTTGGTGGCAATGAGTGTATTCATACTCGTACCCTTCTTTGCCACAGGTAAGACGGTTCTTTCGATAGGACAGTGTCTACTAGGTATGCCTTGGGGCATGTTTCAGTGCATATGCACGGTGTATGCTGCGGATGTATGCCCAGTTGCTTTGCGGGCGTATTTGACGACGTACGTATCGGTCTATCCCTTTCTCCCAAATTTCACAATCATTTCAGTCAAACGAAGCTAACAACGTCAAGTTATGTCAACGCATGTTGGGTCCTCGGCCAACTAGTAGCTTCCATCGTCATGCGCGGCATGATGAACAACACCACAACATGGGCCTACCGCATCCCCTTTGCATTACAATGGATCTTCCCTATTCCAATCTTCTTCGCCGTTTACTTCGCGCCTGAATCACCTTGGTGGCTCATACGACAGGATCGCTTTGTGGATGCGATGAAGACGATGCGTCGGCTGCGCACACAACCAGCAACCATGTCGGATGATGAGTTTGACAAGACTCTGAACGGCGCAATGGAGGCTATGATCCAAACGAACGAGAGAGAACAACAGATGCAGAGTGGCACAAGTTACAAAGATTGCTTCAAGGGAGTGGACCGGCGCAGGACTGAAATCACATGCATGGTTTGGATTATCCAGACACTGTGTGGCAGCACCTTCATGGGTTTCTCCACCTACTTCTGTGAGTTGATCAACGTCGCACGACATGACGAACTTGGCGGGAACTAACTTCGTTCAGACGAACAAGCAGGTCTCGGCTCTTCCCACGCTTTCACCCTCTCGCTGGGCCAATTTGCCCTCGGCCTTATCGGCGTCTTCATATCTTGGGCTCTCATGGCACACTTTGGGAGGCGCACGCTTTACCTCTCCGGACAAGTCATGACTTTCGTCTTCGTACTACTCATCGGGATACTAGCCTGCATACCACATCGCCACCACTTCGTCACGGTTCGCTCAGCGGTAGTAGGCACATCCTCTGAAGTCGGGAATCCGCATCCTACGGCACTCAACTGGTCTATCGCAGCACTACTTCTGGCTTTCACTCTAGCCTACGACGCGACACTTGGGCCGATTTGCTATGCCCTCGTCTCCGAAATCCCCTCCACACGCTTGAGGAGCAAGACGATTGTTCTGGCGCGCAACTGTTACAACATCTCCGGCATCGTTACAAACATTATCACACCGCGCATGCTCAACCCTACTGCTTGGGGCTGGGGAGCTAAGGCAGGCTTCTTCTGGGCAGGCACGAGTGTGATTGGTATCTTGTGGAGTTGGTGGCGGCTTCCCGAACCAAAGGGAAGGACGTTTGGAGAGCTGGACGAGCTCTTTGAGAGAAAGGTGGCCGCGCGCAAGTTCAAGACTACAGACTTTACGGTCGGTGGGGCACTTATTGCGAGAGCAGAGAAGAGTAGGGTATAAGAGCAGGGGACAGTAAGAAGAAGGGAGTCGAAGACGCTACGTGGAGCATGTAACGCGACTTCGAATATCTGTTTCCATTGCTTGATTGTTACGGCGCAAATGGCAGCGATCAGAAGCATGTCGCTGGACGCGGGGTCAGCCAGATAGCTTTCTTGTCTAATGTCTTATAGCATTCTCCTTGAGCTCACCTTATTTAAGAAAAGAACTAAACACGTCTGCAGACTACATTAAGATAAAAACAGGCGAAGTAGATAACCCCACATGAATGTAGGCTTTGGGGTGTTCAGTTAATCGCTAAGTCAACATGGGCTCAACGAACTCACGAGCCTCCTTCAACATGGGTATGATAAACCCCCTCAACACTCTACGTGCACCAGCGAAACGACCCCCAGAAACCCCTTCTTCTCGGCCTCCCGGGCTCATTCTGAACACGAGTCGCCCTCCTCAGCTCAGCTTCTCTTCTATGCCGCTCTAACAGCCCCCTACTAGCTGGCGGCGCCCTTAACCGTCGCTGCTCCTCGCTTATAGCCCTGTTGACACTTATGCACCTCCTCGAGATGGTTGTAGCAACCTCCAATAAGCCATACTCTTCAGCTAGATGCCGCACATCCTGTGCTAGATCCATGAAGCTGAAGAAATCCGAGCCTGGGTCGACTTGTCCGGTGCGGGTGACGGACTGAAGATCAACGGTGAAGTCGTGGGCGATAAGGGCTTCGGCTTGGATATTGATGTATTCCTGCATCGACATTGGAGCTAGGAGCTGTGGAAGAGCAAATGGTGTGGAGATGGATGGCGCTGGCGGTGTGACGTCGCTTGAAGGAGCGGTCGCAGGCTCATCCGGTGGGGGCACCTGCCCATCGACCGCTCCATCTTGCCGTGTATGTTCCGCAAGTGTGCCCCAAGCTCTCATCTGATGCCTCCTTCCCTCAAACTCTTCCCTCTCGCTCTTCCTCGCATTCCTCTCCTCACACTCCCTCCCAACGACGTCCGCAAACCCAGAAAGCGAACTTGTTATCTTGTCAACAGCTTCGCGTCCCTGTGGATACCTATCCCGGATTTTCTGCAGCACTCCTAATGCCTCTTCAACGAGACCAGGCATCTCCTTCAGCTCTGGCGATATCTCTTCAGGATGCGTGGGGAAGAAGTCTTGACGGCATAGCGGGCAGGTGCTTGCGTTGTCGAACCAGGTTTCGATGCAGGATGCGCCGAAGATGTGGTCGCATGATGGCATTTTTAGTGCATGGTGGCTTTTTGTAAGATTATTATTATCGGCACACGGCTCGGCACAGATTGGGCAGACATGAGGTGAGGCGTCTTTGGAGGAGGAGGTTATGTAAGGAGAGGTGTAAAGGGCTGTGTTGCTGAAAGCTTCGCGGGTGTTGTAGAGTGGTGCCATTTTGGGATGTGGATTTGAATGTCGTTGGTGAAGATATCTGGAATTGTCTTTTGAGGAGGTTTTAAGAGTGGGAGTTGATGCAGATTTAAAATGTGCAAGATGCGCTTATATCCCAAGAAATTGTTTTTGCATTCATACCACGGTTCTTTGCATACGGGCTTTGCATCTGACTCATGGTTGGCGATATTCGGGTTTGGCAATGACGAACCAAAGTTGAGGGAGTTCAAATCACAACTTCAGGATCGGCACACAACGCGTACCAGATGTTCGCCGGTTACCCTGTGAAATCAGCCTCGAGAGGTTGCGTGAACATGTTAAACCTAGGTAAAAAAAAATGCAGATCTGCAGCCTACATTAATACAGAAACATCCAAAGTAGGTAACCTGACGTTGATGTAGGCTCCAGGCATGTTTGAAAATATCACAGAACTTGTTAATAATAATTTGGGGAGATCTAGATGTTTCGCAACCCAAGTGGCCAAAATGCCGTTCTAGATACCAAATAACATTGTATTGTTTTGTAGCGTACAAGGAGTCGCAATAACGGCACCAGCTGGATCAAATAGCCGACAACTCGAATGCCGCCGAGATGTTGAAGTCCTGCCCATGCATGTCCATGACGTCGTCACCTTCGAGCCTCTCTGAGGAGTCGTTGTCGTCGTCGTTTAGCTCCGGTGCCCACCTGGCCTGAACGCGGAGGGTATGGCGATAGTCCTCCAGCATCTCTATCCTGACTCGCAGAGTGATCTCGTATACCTTCTCGCCTTTTCTCTTACAGCCAGGTAGCTGTTCTGTTCCAATCTTCTCTTTAAGGGAGTTCATGTCATACTCGATGACACCCAGTTCTGCTACACCTGCATTTTCATCCCCGTCAACCGCATGCCACGACTCCTTTGGACCATTCTCCGTGTACCAGATAGACTCCCTGGCAATCCAGGGGTCTGATGCTTGAAAGATATGCTTTGAGGTGATGAAGAATTTCTGATCCGGTGAAAACTCTTCCCCTTTTTGTGCGAAGTAATGCAAGAGATTGAAGTAATAGAACTTCCCATCTAGGCCACGTTTGGCGGATAATCCGCCAAGATGTGCAAGCTTAGGATTTTCCAGCGTGACCTGCGCCGAGCCCCATTGTTTGGGAACAGTTCGCGTAACGGCGAAACTCGCGCGGAGGAGCCGGCTCGGAGGGAACATGTCCACATTCAGGGCTCGAATACCTGCGCCACCAGCCACTGCAAAGCTCCTTTCGACTGTTAGCTCCCATGATACTGATAGTATATACCTTTTGAACTCACGAGATCGCCTTGTCATGAATGTGTTTTGGGGGATGAGGCCAATTTTGGGTACACTCCTTTCCTCTGTCACGAAGCAACATGCTATCCGAGAACTGGCCAGTCCAGGTGACGCATGAGACTGTCTTTCCTTTGGCTTCAATATGCTGGTACTGTTCGTGGAAGAGCGCATCGAGGCCGGTTAGAGAGTCTCCCACGACTTCATCATATTCTTCTCTATGCCACATTAGTGACCCATATGGTCCTCAGGATGGATATACTCTTACGGTGTCAGAAAGAGCTCGTTCCTCTCAAAATTCCTTGCTTGATCTGGCTGCAGACCATAGATGCGAAATCCGGGTGGTCGTTCGTTTGGGTCTGGGTCTCTCGTCGTCAAGTCTGGACAGGATCTTTTGATGTCGCTCTCGAAGAACTGCACTGCACTTTCGATGATGTTGGAGACAGAATCATTGCTTTGAAGAAGTTGACCAAGAACTCCTTCTTCTTCGAGGCGTGCGAACTTTCTCTCCAGTATTCTTCTTACGTTGTTGTTCCAAGACTCGCCTCCACACGTTTTGCCTGTCCCATATCAGTCACTTGCAAAGCAGTCGCCATAGTTGTGGTTAAACTTACAACTCATTTCGCAGACAAGCTCCCAGCGGTCTGGACTCTGACGCGTCTTCTTGAGCGTGGTTAATTGGATGGTTCCACCTCCAGCGTCTACATTGAGTACGCAATCGTCCACCTGTCTCAAAGATTAAACGATCACCCCATTACGTAGAGAGCTATTAACGTACTTCGAAATCGCCGCCCCAGTTTGAAAGACAGTAAGAAGCTGCAGCCTCCGGTTCAGACGCCGTTGTGATTCGAGGCGGCGTTTGCGCGTCGTGTTCGGGCCACACTATACGGATAGCTGACACAAAGGAGCTGTACCATCGATGATACGACTTCACGCTCCAGGCAATGGGGGCACAAATGACGAACTCTGGATGTACGAATCCTTCGTCAAATTTCTTCTCCCGCACTCGAGTAAGCGACTGCACGAGATAGTCCGTAAAAGCATCGTCTTGGGCGTGGATGAAACCGTCTCGTTGAAGGTCGTCTAGTTTCTTCTCGAGCTCCGAAGTATCGATCGAAGAATCCAAAAGCAGCTTCAAACCAGTGATCCACCGATGCTTCAGCTGGTGGATGTCGTCCCAGGGGTTCTCGATTCTCGAAGACATTGACCAGCCCCAGAGAATGGTGTTGTCATCAAGAGATCCGCCGTAGCACTGCTTTGTGGGAACCACATCGCTATGTTTGCCATCTTTATTTTTTCGCGGCCAATCGTGGAAATATTCCACATGTCGGTACGTAATGTCGTTAACGTTTCGATTTGGAGGGACCACAATACGAGCGACCGTTGCGAATGTCGTTCCCATGTCAACGATCAACAAAAGCCGGCCCCGCTGGGAGGGCGTGACGTTGGAAGATCCCATATCTTCCTCTAAACCGGAGGCAGGTTAGGAGAGGAACAGATGGAATGGATATGGCGCGATTGCGCACTGAACCTTCGCTAAGAGCTAACGGCGACGTGCAGATTTTGGTGAGACATACCATGTAATCTTATGCATCTGAACGCCACAGAAATGCAGGGTATTGTCCTCGGAGTTTCTGTGAGGTTCCATGTAGGTGCAGCAGCAAACATTCTAAGACAGGGGTGTCTTGAATCAACAAGTTGGCGACCGTGGACACAACAGCAGCGCCAAAGCCGTGATCTTGAGCTCGTATAAGATACCGTCAAGCGCGCGACTTCTTACATTTCTTCGAACATTCAATTTTGTCCGCGTCTTTAGCGTCCTCAACGTCTGTGAGACCCTCACGATGAGCAGCTGTCCTCCACGCTGGTCCCCACACGAACGCGCTTTGTTGTTCGCATGTGTGCAGCATTGCCACGAAACCCAGATGGGCCTCGAAAAGAACCTTCACAGGATGCTTCAGCGAGTCGGCGAATCAAGCGTCTTCCACCGGATTAGCAATGCGCGTACATGGAAGGCCATCCGCAACTATTTGCATAAGCAAGCGCCTTCAGTCAAGCGCGCTATTCGTCGCTTTGAACAGGAAGGCATCTCATTCCTCTCCTTGGGTCCAGACGTCATGGACTATATCGCTGCGTACAGTGATGAAATCTTGCGGCAGGCGCCTTCTTTGCACTTTCCCACGGAGACTGGAACAACTTCGGCTGTCGACCACGACAATGCGCGAGGCTCAGCAATAGTGAGTTGTGATGCTGATATACTGCACGTATGCTAACACTTTGAAGCCTACACGCGCTACAGGATCGAAGAAGCGCGCCGCGTCAGACGGTACCGTGACTGGCAGGCCGAGCAAAACCGCGAAAACGACCGGGAACCACGAACGAAGTCCATCAGCAGCCGTACATATGGACATCGAAGGACGGGAGGAGGAAGGCGCGGCCACGGGGCAGGATGATCAAGAGCATGCTGGACTGGATGTAGTCGGTGCTGCAACGTCGGAGGACCCGACAAACCTCGCTCGCGGCTCGTCCGGTCGAGCCGAGATGCAGCTGGAAAGACGCCAGATGCTTGGTACACGTGCTGGCAAGGGAAAAGCGCCACAGGCAATGGTATGCTATTGACACCTCGCGGCATTGGATGTTTACTAACCGAACATAGGTCGGGCGGATGAAGCCAACCAGCGCTAGCTGCACCGTGACCCCCACCAAATCTCCCCACCGCAAGGCCCCGGCTGCTCCCAGACGTGTCACAACAGAGAGCGCAACCCTCAGTCACGACAAATGTGATGATGCAGCTGTCATCTCATATCTCCAGACGCGCTACGATCATGTCGTCAACATCGAACGCGAGGCGAGCAGCGAACTGCGGAAAGTGCAGGCCGACAACAGGAATCTGCGTCAAGAGATCGAAGAGCTCCGCCAACAGGTCAAAGAGCTTCAAACACCGAGCCATGCTGAACTTCGTCAACATGCTACTACGCTCAAGCAGCAGGGAGAGACACGATCTTTGAACGAGAAAACGACGCTGTCTATCCAGGCCCTTGAACTTAGGCAGTGCAAAGAGAGGAATCAACTTCTCGAAGAGCGCCTCAAGAACAAAGAAGCACTTGTAGGCCATCAGAAATGCATGCTAGATAACCTGAGAGAGCCTCAGCTCATCCCTCGGTCTCAGGCATATCCAGTCGAATACGACATACAGTGTCTTGGTCCAATATGGTCTCACCGCATGGAAGTCTTGGCACGTGTCTTCCCACAATACGACTCGGCCACCACCCTGAGTCCTCAATATGTCCTCCCTGCGAAGTTCGAGATCGCCATGCGTATCATCACTGGGCTACCACTGGTACCCACCGGAAACTTGGCACTCTCGGCGTGCTTCGCTAATGTTACGGCCCTACCCACCGACGTCAACATCTACTCGGCCTTGTTCAAATCCTACGCGCTACGATGGGTCTACGATACTAATTTCCACACCGATGGATTGGACTCGGAGAAACTGGAGGATCTGTGGCAGTCGATAGCTCTAGAAGGTAAGCATCTATCAAGCCTGCCGCGGATAGCAACTAACCAAGACAGGCGGACTCAAATCTGTGCGCAAGCAAGATACGATAGCCACACTCTTCAAGATCAACAATAGGCATTTCCGAGACAACGAACTACCTGCCAAGGCCAAACACCAAATGGACATCTTCATCGAGGAGTTCCGTGAGCTCATCCCTTGGCTGCACACAAAGCGTGCAGAGCTCACGACATGGCTGAAATACGTCATGACGATCAAGATCGAGCTTCTTGTATCCAACCAACATCACAAGATGGCCTTCCCACCACCTGGAGTACCCTTCGACAAGGAGACGATGCATGGCTTCCTCGAAAACGGAGATAGTCCGGGACTTGGGGAAGACTGGTCGAAGTATCGGGTCAAAATCTGCCTCAGCCCTGCGCTTTACAAGTGCATCTCCGAGCCGGAGTGGAGTGATTTCAACTCCATCACGGACAACTACAAAGATGCGCTGCTCGAATCTAGAGATTTCTTCCCTGAGGAGCCGGGCAAGTATCGTGGTTGGGAGGGATCTTTCTTGGTGGCTCGGTCTCTTGTTTCTATCGAGAAGTATCCGGAGGAGCCGCAGCCGAGTCAGGTCCCGCGACTTCGACTCATCCAACGCTCAGCAGAGAAGAGCCAAGACGTGGCGGAGGATCACGATGATGAAGCCAATAGTGAAGATGGTGACCACGACGCGGGTAGCGACAACAGCACGGATGGTAACAGTAACGAAGGCAGCGAGGACACTGACGATGGCCTCGCGGAACAGTAAGAATGGGTAAAGCGCAGGATGTTCAAGTATCACGGTGGAGTGCTGATGCAGATAAAGGCAACAGAACGGGGTCAGGTAACTCCATATAATTCAACACATAGGTATTCAGTATGGCACCGTAGAGAATGTGCGTATAATCAATAGCGTAACTTAAGATGCTCTCGTTCCAGCGTCAACTAGATAATCCAATATTCCATCTCAACACTCTCCTCTCCAATCCACCGCCTACCCAACAACCCTCCCAAATCCAAACCCCCTAACCCCATTACTAACCCACACCCCCTCCCCCACACTCACAGTCTCAATCCCCACCGGCTCCTCCATACAAAACCCGCTTCCAAGCGCCCACCGCCTACTCGTCCCCCTCTGCCCCCCAGCCCCCACCTTAGCACTCCTCGTACTATGCCCCCACCTCCCCGCAAAAGGCTTCCTTAACTCCCCCTCATCAGCCCCATCATCCTTCAACGTTTTACTCGTAAATTCCCCCGACGGCACACCTACAGGCGGCGTTACCCACCTCCCTCCTCGGAACAAGTACAGCGAGGTCAGTGTGCCTTCGGTTAGCTCGTTGACTTCGTTGTAAAGCATGACTTCACGGTAAGCTGGACCTGCGGGGTTGGGGGGTAGCGCGCGTTCGCGGCTTTGGTCGTACATTTCGCGCTTTGTGGTTTTGAGGAGGGTGAAGGGGGAGGAGGGGGTGGGGGCGGTGTCTAGGGCGATTTTCCATTCGGGGGGTGAAGGGGGGAGGGATGTGTCGCCGGCTGGGAGGCTGTCGGTGGGGCCGATATGGAGGGCGCCGCCTGTTAGGGGGGAGGGCGTGAATGGTTTTGTGGTGGTGTTGGTGTTGGGGTTGGCGGGATGGTGGGGTGGGGATGGGTTTGGGGGGTCTAGAGATGGGGGGTAGAGGGTTGATAGGGGGACAGCTGGTATTGGGGTGAATTCCACGGTTAGATTGGCGGCTTTGTCGAAAAGGAGGCGTAGCTGGGTTGTTCTTAGTAATGTGGAGAGATGGTTTAACGCAGGTCGTACCTTCATTGCTTCATCTTTTCCGGTTTTCTTGATCTCGTCTTGCACTCGCTTCAACAGTTCCTCATGCAGAGCCTTCCCGTGTTTCAGTCTTTTCTCGACTTCGAAAAAGTCAAAGTGCTGTGCGGCTTCCACCATGCGATCTCGGTGATAGGTGAGCATGTAAAAAGGTGACGGCGTAACGAAGTTCAAGATGGCTCTTGAGTTTTCCTCGGATTGGAGCAGCAATGGATCGTATCTCAGGGATGTGAAGAGCTGGAACTCATCTTCTGATGCCATGATGAGCCGCTTGTGATAGTGATGACTCTTCGTGAACGTTGAGATGCTGGTGATTACAGGTTGTTCGACAGATGTCTTTAAACTTGACTATCAGTGCTCAGCTCAGGCCAGTGTTGGATGCAGATACGAAACGATGTTATGTCGCATATAAGACTTGCCTGTGTAGATGTACGACGGATGTGCTGTCATTGATGGTGGGTCAGCGAGTCGACCGTCCAATCCGTTCCGAGCGGACCTCAGCCCGGATTTAGTTCCGAAGTCGGCTGATTGGTCAAGACGCGTACTGCATAGGACTTCGTCAACTCTGAATCTGAAAATGTTAACGTGTAATGCTCTGTTGCAATTTTCTTGGCTATACTTCGTGCTATGTCTAGCCATCCGGTTATGGGCGATAGTCTTGATGCACCACATTCAAAGGAAGAATGCTGACTGTGCTTCATCCCAACCACCTTTCCCACACAACAAGACCTTCACGACACCCACACATATAATATCAAACTCCCATTGGCCCGGTGCAAATTCCGCAACAATCCACAGTACCAACTGCCACATACTCATATCGGAAAGATCACACCCAGCATTCCAAACCGATTACCTTACTTAGTAAACCCAAGGCAAACCCGTAGATGACAGTAGAAAAGCGGTGTTTACCTCCACCCAACCATGGTGCTGGAGGTAAGAACCACGGCTGGGGCCGAGAAAGCTCCTTTGCCAATAAGAGAAAGCGAGCATGTGGATCGCAAGTCTGGTGCGGAGGTTTGTACCGAAGCTGTTACAATAACAGGTGGGTAAGAAGCGAGATGATGACATGAAGACATGAGGCTGGTCAGGGGCGCGTGTAAGGAGTTGTTATGTGTATGCGCGCAGTGCTTCTGGGTTAAGGTTTATTTTCTCTTCGTTCTAGTTTACGACCGCTGATGATATTCCGGATCTGTTGTACTGTAACGCTCGATAAACAATGTATTGCTACATACGCCAGGGCATCGCTGGTCGATGGCAGTGTGATAAGCCCTTCATCTTCAGCGATGATGCAGCTCAGCAGGTCTCTACGAGCTCATTCAGCCTGTGGAGGCACAATCACCCCGTGCGCGTCGCAACGCGTTTGAAGATCTGACGCGGACGTTCTTGCGCAGCAGCAGGTGGATTCCACGAAGGGCGAGTCTTCGTCGGCTTCGCTGAAACAAAACCCCCAACTGCGCCCCTCTGAGCACTGATCAGAGCCTCTATGACAGCGCCAGCCTCTGCGCGTACATCTACATATTTGGCCGGAACCAGAGGCGGCTCAACATGGAACCTCAAGCTACCCTGCAAATCCAGTGTGTTTCCCGCGCGCAGCGTATTCAAAAGACCTGGCTGGCTCTTCCGGATCTCAGGATAAACGAACTTGCCATTCTCGTCGTACCCGCGGGCTTGGAGCTCTTCTTTGATAGCGTTGCGCAGACGCCGTCTAGCCCATGTTCTTACACAGCTGGACTTGTTCAGGTCGGCGGGGGTGGTCGCATGCCACCACAGTCCCTCCCTCTTCTTCTCTCTCTGTCTGCGGCGCTGCGTCTCGCAGAGGGGGTGCTGGGGATCGGACGCGACGTGGTTGAGGATGAAGTGCTTGTAGTCGGTGGCATAGCTGACTTTGAACGTGCGCGGCTTCTGTCTGGCGAGGAGCGAATAGACGGCATTCTTTGACATGGCTGTCCCATGCCTCTCGTGTGTATGCACGGTGACGTAGGGTGAAGGGGCAGCGGGTGGGGGTGAAAAGGCTCGAGGACCACGGATGGATTGATTTTCGGCCGGGTGAGCGACGGGGCGCTAGGCTGGGAACGGGCTTAGCGCGCAGTGTCGAAGGCTCCCACAGTGAGTCGGAATCCACAGTGCAAACAACCGTCGAGCCGCCACTACATAAAGACTTGCGCCCGCCGACGCTTCTGCCACCAACACCAAACACAACTCCACCCACACTAATACACACTTCGACTACCGTCCACCATGCCGAAGAACAAGGGAAAGGTACGTTCAACGCTCTTTTGGAGGGGCTGCCCCGCCACTTCTCCCAGCGCCTGACGCCCAAACCGGCGCTTTCTATGTCTGGGTGATGCGGCGCTTCCTCTCACATGCCACGATGCACCTGCTAACACATCTACCAGGGAGGTAAAAACCGACGTAGGGGTAAGAACGAGAACGACAACGAAAAGCGCGAACTCGTCTTCAAAGAAGAAGGCCAAGAATACGCCCAAGTCGTCAAGATGCTCGGAAACGGCCGTCTGGAAGCCCAGTGCTTCGACGGCGCCCGCCGTCTCGCCCATATCCGCGGCAAGCTGAGGAAGAAGGTCTGGATCAACCAGGGCGACATTATCCTGCTGTCGCTGCGAGACTACCAGGACGAGAAGGGTGATGTTATTATGAAGTACTCTGGTAAGTCTACCTCTCACTCCCAACAACCTATCATACATAACGTACTGATACGTGAACAGCCGACGAAGCCCGCTCATTAAAAGCCTACGGCGAACTCCCCGAAAACGCAAAGATCAACGAGACAGACACGTACGGCGACCAGGGCGACGAGGGCATCGGTTTCGAGTTCGACGAGGACCGCGACGACAGCGATTCGGACGAGGCCGACGGCACCGGCAAGAAGGAGATTGATATTGACGACATTTGAGGGGGAGGCGCGCAGATCCGCCATGCTGTCTCGGCTTCCTGCTTTGCGGCTGCTGCTTTGCTGTGGCGGGGGCCGGGCTGCTCAAATGCTGCTTCTTGCGAGCGGGCGGATGGTTGATGAGGGATGTTGAGGGATACATGGTTCCGTATGGATGATCATGATCATGAGGTTATTCGGCATGTTTTTATGTTACGTGCTTTTGGACTTTTTGTGAAAGCATGATGGGATAGAGAAATGATACACGCATAATCTTCGTCCAAGCCAATCCTTTACCGTCCGATATCTTTGTTCTCTCATATACTAACATCTTCGCGTCACCTCTAATGTACCAAGGTCTAACTAAACCCCTGCCACTGCACCTCCTCATACACACTGCGATTGAAAAACCTATGCACCCTCCTCCCCACATCCGTCCCGACCAACCAACAAATCTCCCTCTCGGACATATTCGCCACCTCAAACACACTCTCACTCTTAAGCATCAACGTCGACACCACATTCTCATTCACCCCCGGCAGCGCCCTCAACATATCCTGACTCGTCTGATTAAAGCTCCGCATCTCATCCCCACTCTGATTCGGATCCAGCCCCAACTGCACCGCCTTCATCGGATCAGGCTCATCCTGCTGTTTCTTGAGCTCTGCGAAGATCTCAGCCGTTTGGTACGGACTGGAACTCCAAATGATTCTCAAGCGAGGGAAGGCGAGGGTAAGCATAACGAGTTTGGATTGGAGGTCTGGTGTTGTGGCGGGTCCGTTGGCGGAGGAGGAACTGCTGCTGCCGGCTGAGTAATCCGTAAAGGGTTCTAGGGTGAAAGACTTGTTTTGGTCGAATTCAATGAGCAGCATAGGGTGTTTGTAGTGCTCCATCATGGATTCGACTTGGTTGAAGAGGCGGCCGTTGGCGAAGGATTGGATTAGGTCGCGGATGGACTTGCGCTCGATGCAGATTTGGGGGGTGAGGACGTAGTCGCCGACGGTGAGCATGCAGGGGACGATGACAATGGACCGGCCGTGGAGGAGCGAGGGCAGCGAGGACCGGAATTCTCGTACGTCGACGACGACGCGGGGGGGTTCGGTGGTGGCGGCTAGGCGGCCGCCGCCGGCTATACGTGTGTTGATTGTGCGGAGGAAGGATTCTTCGGGCGCGAGGTTGGCGGTGGAGTTCATGGTTAGGGCCATGTTTGCGCGCTCTTTGATTAGTCGGGTGAAGGCGTCTTTTTCGCGGCGGACGGCGGAGAGGTATCGTTGTTCTTCTACGCTGCCGCCGTAGTACATGAAGAAGACTTTTACTGTTCGGTCTGTGTGGGATGATCGGTATACTTCTATCCGCCGGATGAACGCTGCGTCGGGCTCATACATGATGACGTATCGCGGCTTTGTCTCGTCGAGAATGTGTTCGTCTAGGTCTCCAGAGTAGGGATGTACGATTATCAAAGAGTTCATGTCGAAGAGCTCGTAGAAGCTTTCCATGTTGTCGAGAGGATCGAATCCTACGTCGCCAGGCTTTTGTGCTGCTTCGATCTCAGTGGGTTCCAGTTCAGCCATCAAACTTGCGATGTGTGCGTCGCGATCTCCCGCTGTCCGAACAGCTCCTGTATCAGACCGCGATGGCCCTGCTGCGGCATTCCCGCCACCTCTTATACGGCGTCGCTTATTAGGCGGAGGTTTACCGGAAGTCTGACGCATACCGCTCTGAACATTCTTGTCTGTACTCGTGTTGATGGCCTTCTGATTCTCCGAGAACAACGCGGCGCTGACCTTACTGAAGTCGCGTTTCCATGTGAGATAACTCCGTAGCTTGCGTCGCATCATGAAGTTCGCCGATGGCTCGTACTCGTCTTCGTCCTCGTCTGCAACGCTCTCTGGCTTGACGTACATGGTCTGCAGATACTCTCTCAGCTGTGACGCTGTACCTTGGTCGCCACACATGATGAGTATAGAGCCGTTGGACGAGTCTTGCGGTGTTGGGTTGAAGTAGGCATCTTGCTCTATCTCTTGCAGGATTTCTGCGAGTTGCGTCCACTTGGGAAATTCCTCTAGGACAGGCTGCAGAGACTCTGGCACAGCATTCGGGGCGTTCGCTAGTTCCGCGTTAGATACCTTGCCCGTGTATACTCTTCGCTTGGCAGTAGTGAAGATGGTATCGGCCGCGTCTAAGAACAACCATGGGGACTGGTTCTGCTTTGTTGACCCTGGCGGCGGTTGGGAGGCTGCAAGCACGGTATCGAGGTACTTGTTGAAGTTCACCGCATCATAGGTAAGAAGTGCGTGCAGAATGGTACGAAGCAGGGACAAATCTCGGACGACCTGTCGCGTCTTGAACGTTGTGCGATGCCAGACGGGGTCTAGTTGACGTCTGATGATTTGATCAAAATTCTTGTGTAGGGCACTGTCCACATTCCAATCCTCCATCTCCACGCCTGGGTTCGCTTTCTTGAGCTCGCTGATACTGGCCTCCACGCATGCCAGTACCGCGTTCTGTATGTCTTGCATAGCTTCCGTCATTGGCACTTCCAGCTCAATGACTTCCGCTTTCTTGCGTCCTTCGAGCGAGTTCGCGACTGCGACGTGGTATCTTGGGTATAGCGCTGGCTTCGTTAAGAACAGGTTCTTCATCATGTTCGTAAGCGGAGCGAATCCAGTCGTGAAGGGCTCTGGCGTATCTGAGAACGCCTTCAAGAAGCCTGCCTTATTCTTCTGCCGGTATATCCTCAAGATGAAGGCTTCCAAAGATGTCGCGACGACCCGTTCAGCATGCAGCACCACCACACCCGTCACCGTTTCCGGATTGAGTAGGCCAGAGAGAAAGTCCACAATGAGGATGCGCGACGTGATGCTGAAGATCCCGCCTTGGGCATACATCTTCTCACGTGTTCCCACGCTCATCAGATCGGTGTTGACCAGGCTCAGGCCGCGACACTTGGGCGCGTTGCTGACGGCTGCATGCTCGGCCAATGCCTCACCGATCCAGACATTCTCGCGATCGTCGGCACCCACGAGCAGTATAAGGTTGTTCCCGGCGGCATCGTAGGAGTGGAGGAGGTTCGTGACTATGCGCAGGAGGCCGAGACCGCGCGCAAGGAGGACGAGCTCATCTTCCTCGCGCAGTTCGTTGAAGATGTCCTGTTGGAACTCCTATGATGTCATCGGTATCGTGTCTATGGACGTTCTAGATTGGGCTTACGAGAGGCAACGAGAGCTTCACGGGGGCTTGCGCATCGTTGGGCATTGGATCCTGCTGCAACGGTCGTGGTGGGGCGAGATGAAGGTTTGGGGCTGGTTCGCGCGTCTAGGTTCGCGGAACTTCGCGAAACCTAGACGCTGTCACGAGATCGATCCCGGACGGATGTCACCTGAGCAGAGGCCTCGCCTCATTTCAGACATTCATGGACTCAACTATGCCTGACATTGGATATGAACAGTACGTCATAGGTTTTGTAGACTGCCTCGATATCCAGGAACCCCCCGGCCTTGATTGGAAGCGTAGATTCGTGATACATGTAAATATACAACAGCGAAAAGGAAGTCATCTGGCATGGGTCTGCTACTGTGTGCTAGCCCTAATTTCTGCTTGTCTTCTCCGACCCTCGGCAGCATATGCGTCGCGCTCCTCCCTGCGGATCTGCTGTTCTGTCTCAGACCTCTTCGCATCCATTTCCTTCTGTGCAGCCCAGACTAATTTCGTTAGCGCGGTCTCGAAGATGACGGCAGAAGGAACACTTACTCGGCTTGTCTGAACGCGAAGCCTCCTTCAATTGGCCAACAAAGGCGTCAAAGTCCTTCTGCCTCTGCTCCCTTCCGGCAAGGGCCTTCTTCTGCAATTCTGGGCTATACCTCTGCATAGATCGTGAGCAGCTGTTGGGCGCAGCACGTGGCAAAGTAGACATACCTTGAAGATTTCTTCCTCAGTAGGTGTAACCCACATGACGAGTGCAGGTCCGCCGATGCACAGGAGTCCGCCTCTATCTTGTCATTAGTTTGAAGTCATGCAGCGACCATGCATCTGACGTACCCTGCGATAGCCTTGATGTAAGCCGCGGTAGATGGCATGGTATGTCTTTGTTGCTGGTCTGGATATCGGAGAATCTACTTTCTAGATTGCCGGCTTGTTGGCAGCGTATGTTCCAGGAAATCGTGTTGGGGTGGAGACTCGTGCAGCCAAAGTGGTGAAGTCGACGATCCACCCAACTGCCATGGATTGATTGCTAACAGAGCTAGCCCGCTGCGCCACTTTCCACCATCACGTGTGTCAGCACCGCCGCTCGGACGCCACCGCTCCTGCATCGTCGGGACCCAACTGCTTGCAGGCGGCGAACGCTTACCCGAGCCTAAGGCCCAGCGATCACCGTCGACCCTGCGCTCATTGGTAGGCCGTTCCTCGACTGCATGATGTGTATGATCTCCAGCGGCTCTGCGACTTGGTTCGTATAGGGACTGCTTGACATCAGCTCATTCGGGCTGTTTTGCACAGAGCTGATACTGATCGTCTCCATATTTCTCCAGTCACTTTAGCTGGCGGTGTTACTCAGGGCAAATTCAAAGGCTTCATTTAATCTACTCGCGTGCGAATCAATTCAGCGACAACGATTCGTCTACACCAAGGTCCCTTGTCCGCGTTTCAAGGCGAAGGACGCCAAAGCGGGACTTTTGCTTATTCATTTCCTGTGTTGCACCAGCGGCGTGTGGGTGACAGACCTGGGTTGAAACGTAATCGAACTAATTGGAGGTCACCCCGTGTTTGAGGAGGCAGCGGCCGCCCCCAATTGGCGTCGATTTCCAGAACATGTACAATTGAGAGTTCGACTATAGACTTTCCACCTTCCTCCCATCGTCATCCCGCCTTTGAAAGGTCGTCCCTGTGCTGAGTGGGCATATGACACCTCTTTGAGTTTGTGCCACCCCTGTCAGGTACGACATTGCCCGGAACACGGCCAACTTCCAACACCGTCATCGCGATCGCACGTCGACGACCAGCATCCGCTACAAACAGGCCGAACG